AATGGCCGGATTAATTCAGCTGTGTCAGAATGGGCAGTAGCTAGCACTGAAAAACAGTTAGGCTTATTAAATAAACAGTCTGCATTTGGGGTTTGTGTGTGTTTTGCTTGGCTGGTACTAACATTTCCTAGTGAAAGTCAGGAAGTTAAAGTAAATGATTTCCTAGTTTGAAGTAGCAGCATTCAAAGAAGTATAGCAAGAAGACTGAGTTTCTTGTACTTCCGGTTGACTCTACCATGGAGATGCAAAAGTTTCTCTGTACTACAAAGGAAGTATGAAGAGTTGTTTCTTCTGCAACCTTCATTTAGAACATCGGAGACTTTTCTTATTAGAAATTATATCTAAAGTAAAATATTATAAGTAAGCGAATATCCTTTTTATTCTGACATTTCTTGGGTGCTTTGAAAGGAGGCCAAGGCTTAGCCTTTGAAGTAGGAAGGAAGAGGTATCTTCTTCAACTTTGTGCCTTCATTTTTTAATTGCAATAGCCTCCTTTCTATTTAGATTTTTGGTCTATTATCCTTTCTGTAATGAATGTTACCCAAGTTACTTGGTAGAGCTACTTCTCTTTCAAAAGTTTATTGTGTTCATGGCTTTCATGTGTGCTTCCTAGAAGCATCTGGTTGATTACTGTGGGAAATTGGGATCTAGGGTAGATGTAACTTTTGATCTGATCTAGAAGGTCTCATCTCCTATTCCTAAATGCAGTAACAGCTGAGTGAAAGAGAGATGTTTGTTTCATTACTGAGTGGAGTCTCAGAACAAAAACATTAAAGAGCAACCAGACAACTAAAGCAATACTGCGAAGACATAGGAACACCACTAAGTGGTATTGAAACAGCCTGTGCACATGATTAAGATGGCACAAATACCCTTGTTCAGTTCTGGTAAGCATCACTAGCACTCTCAAAGGATAATATACATCCACTTTCTCATTTGGAGTTAGTTGCCATTATAACATTTTGGGGAATATGTGTTATGGGAACTGTAGTGAGCTAGTGTGAGTTCCTGATAGCATTCCAATGAAGGGAAGTGGTCCTGTATTGAAGGACTGGTGTGTACTTCCTGAGTCTGACATTCCATAGAACTTCTTTTCAGGAATAATTCTTCCATGGTAGGCGTGTCTTGAGTGGAGCCGACTAGACCCAGGGGTCAGACTAGATGGCCTGGGAGACCACTTCTGAATCTCTGTTTCTGTTTCCCTGAGAAAAATGTGTTGCATTTGCATGACTGGTTCTTAAAATTAAAATTTGCATTTGACTTTCTACCCAGTAGAAAGGAGGCTTTTGTCCCAGTGGGAAATAGGAGATTAATATAGCTACTAGAAAATTAAAATTACTTGGCAAAACTTAAGCGCATATAGTAAAACCTCTCTCTGGACTGTGAGACATTTCTTAAATTCTTAGCTGAAAAAAGATTGGTGCTTCTCTCTTCCCCCTGCTTTTTTAGTTTTTACAAATTACATGTTTCCAGTGAATATTGGGAAGATTATCACATTTGTATACAGCCCTTCCTCCAAACAGCTCAAGGCATCCCAACTTTCAAATGTTGATTGTATCCTGAGCCTTCTCATACAAAGGCAGCTATGTAGGTTGTCCATTCCCAAATAACTGCCATGGTGGATGTAACCTGTTACAAAACACATTTTTTGTGGAAGGCAATCTGTTTTGCAGAGGCTTTAAGAAAAATGCCCAAGAATCTCAGTACAAGACAGAATTAATGCCTAAGTTCATTTATTCAGGCAGAACAACGGTGCACACTGCCTTATGAAAAACAAACTCCAGGCAAACCATATACATGTGCATATGCACAAAAGACCCAGGTAAAACAATGCTGTTTCCTACTGCCAAACTCAGGTTAAACATTCACCACACACAAAATTAATCCAGGCATACACAAAACCAGGCAAATCACACACTGCACTAAAGCAAAGAAGACAAGAGCATTCCCCCTCTATTTTAAAGATAACACACACCCACAGCATAGACAAAATACTTTCTGTATCACCTACCAGTCCTCCTATATTCCAGGATTCTCCTTGCTACCCTCCAGGTTACCTTTTTTGGGGGAGGGGTGCCTGGATACATTACACAAAGAGGCACAGGGTTGTAGTCCCTGACCACTTTTCTAAGGATGGCTTTGGGGTTCCATGTTTGGGATGGCAGGAGTGCCAGATTTAGGTGAAGTTTTCCACTGCAAATATATGAGAGTACTGAATCGTGAAGGAGGGGGAAAGGATGAGGTAGGACAGTTTTGGTCTTTACATGCACAGTCTGCTTGGAATGTGCTCCCAACATTGCCGGTGACATCCGTCTTCGTTCTGCTAAAGAATATATAGTATGCAGCCTGTGGTGAACTAGATAATGAAACATTATGAAGAACAAGGCATGGCATCTGCTGCCAGACTTTGTTTAAGTTTGCTTGGCTAATCATAGTGACAGGATGCTGGAAAAGGTAGAATCTTTGACCTATCAAGTGCTTAGTTGTGTTCTTAAGTGCATAACACATGTAACTTGTACATTTCAGTGGCATGTCTAGAATTGAGAAGTGGGGTCAAAAGACCCAGAGAAATGTGCAGAACAAAATCCAGAAAAATTCAGACCAAACCCCTTTTCTCCTGGGATTTGGGCAAACTTGCTGTTTTCTGTTTTTCCCCAGTTTTTCACTAAATCATTTATATTCCTAGGCATGGCTTGTGCATATCTCTGGCTAAGGTAAACAGCTTGGAGAGCTTCAGCTATAGGGTGTTATGGATTAATTAATGAAATTAATGAATAACTGAAAAGGGGTTACCATGTGGAAGATAAATGGAAATAGTTCTAGCTATTCTTCATAGCATCACATGAGAAAGTATTCATATCTCCATTATTTATTGTGCCCTAAAAGTGCAGTTTAAAAATTGCAGTGCTGGGATTAGGGATGGTTTCAGCTGGAAGTTAGAAATGACTGCCTGTGCATATCTCTACATGGAACTATATGTTCCTTGCATGAAAATGAAATAATTGTGTGTTAAATCACAATAATTTAATTTGGAGTATGCATCTATAATTATGGTTGAAAGAGCTCATTCAGAACTTGCTTCCAGTCAAACTAGACTTGCCGAAGCCATCTTTAATCCACATGTGTTCATGCATGGGAGTTTAAGAAGTGTTAGCCAATTAGCTGTAAATAAGAATTGTCTCTCCATAAACAACTCTTAAGCCTTTTTTTCTTATCTTCCCCTGGAAATCCAGAGCCTGAAAGGGGTATTGAGTGTACTCTGCAGAGAGTTATCATGACTAGTGCTGGGTAAGATGAGCTGATCCAGGAAGGGTTTACTAGATGCTGACAAGTGTTGGCTTGCAGAGTGCTGATGTGACCAGTTATTTGATCTAGCTGGCCATTGGCATTTCGGACAGCTAATTTGAGTGAAAGCACGGTTAATAAGATTGAGTGAAAATGAAATGCAAATTAGTATATTTGTAGGATACCATCATGCTCAAATTAAGACCTGCCTTATGCTTGGGAAACAAGAAAACCTATACATTTGTCTCAGATGTACTCTAATTAAGTCAGTGTTGTTGTTGTTTTAATCAATAAAATGTCTTTGACTCCAGTTTAATGTTAAAATATCTTTTAATGCAGTTTTATCGATTGTTAATCATTTCTGTCCTGCCTTTTCTGCTGAGGCACTTGTATCCCTATACTTTGAATAACACCTGGGTGTTGTATGTATTGTTTGTTCATAAGTGCGCTGTTTGTGTATAGAATGCCATAGCGTAGTTTGAGGTTGCACCTGAACTGATTGTATTCACACACATAATGTTAAACCAAAGGTTTGTTAAGCATACCAGAGTCAATAATGTAGAAAAGAAAGGCGACCTTGGTTTGTTCTGCCAATTTCTGGTTTGCTTTCCCTTTGCTGCTTCTGCCAGTATCTTAAATACTCTAGTAGCAGTAAAGCAGGTTTAAGGATTTTTTTTGTCCATGGTCCAAATTTGAAAAGGTTTTGAAGCTTGCATTCCATCTGTAGGTGTGACCAAAGTAAGCAGGGCCAAAATGTGATACTTTCGGATTTAAACCCATTCAGAGGCAAGCATGTCTCACTCATAAGTAATCCAAACTGAATTATGCTGCAGCTCCCTCAGCAGGCCTTGCCCCCAGTTCTAGGCAGGAAAAAGTATATACCACCCATGCCAGGAAAGAAAGCGGGCTTGGAGTGGTGTGCTTGGAGGATCCCCCTGCCTGCAGTAAAGGACTATTTTCCCTTTTCAGCTTGTGGGAAGCCGCATGACTTCAGGCCAATTAGCTGTTTTTCCCTGCTGCTTAAAGGTTGCAAACAAACTGAGGACTCCAAAAAGGGGTCACAATTGGAGTGGATTAGGGGTCAGGATGAGGCAGAATAGGATGTTGGAGAACACTGGGATACGTGCTGGGAGTGTGCTGGAGGATTGAGAAGGAGCAAGCCACACCTAGTCGCCATGTGTCCCAACTGTCAGCAGTGAAGTGGTTTGGCAAGCAAACAATACATAGTGGTTTATCCCCCAGTTTGGCTTACCAAGATGTGTGAACTGGACCATTGTGTGTTGATTGACTGCTACTGTGCCGTCCTTGCATTCTCCCTGTTCTGGGTAGTTGCCAGATGCCGATATCTGCAAATGTGTTGTACAAGCAAAACAAGTTGAGAAGTATGCTGGCATATTCCACTGGGAAGCTGGAGACCTTCAGGCATCTTGCAGATTGACATGTTGCGTTTTCTTGAATGTGTGGATGTCTTTTCAACCTGGCCCTATTAAGTATATTCTTTAACTAGTAAATCTAGCTAGCTAGCTTTTTGCACTATCGTTTCTCCTTGTTTGTGGCCATTGCAGCAGTGCGATCAGTACTGAGAGAGGAGCAGAAAAATAGGCAAGTAAGCATAGTACATTAGCAATGTACTGCTTTCGCCTAACTTATCTAATACTTTAAAAATAAATTGTTGCTTGTTATATAATGTGACCCTCTTAAACTTTCTCTTTCAGATCTGCTTTCTTCTGTTTGCTATTCTGTATATTGTTTCCTACTTCATTATCAGAAGATACAAGAGGAAAGCAGGTAACTATTTTATATTCATATCTTGGCTCTGATACAAATAGGAAATAAGCTCTTGGTGATATGGTAGTGAATAAGACATATTATCAATATGCCAAAACGTTGAAGGTTTGGGTAGTGAGAAGGAAGTGTGCATGTCAGTTTATACTATAAGCAATTATCTTGCTTGAATTTGAGCAGACATCTTGACCGTTTCACAACAGCACTTTCCTTCCTTTTCCCAAACTGCATTTTTCATATTAGAAGTTTTCCAATCTTTAACCTACCACATTGTAAGATAACCTAGCTGGAATGCAAGTTAGTAGGAGAACCAATGGATGCAGGCTTTTGTCCTTACGGACTGCTTGTGAGCTTCCTGTTGGTATCTAGATGGCTGCTCTGGGAGGTAGTATGCTGGATGAGATAAGACTATATTCGTGTGGTCTAGTAGGACTGTTTTTTCTGCTTAATTTGCATTTGTTTCCTACATACACAACTTCACAGCTATAGATTAATTGAATATGTATTGGCCTGTGATTTTTGCTTACTGTACAGCATTAAACCTATAGATCCCCTCTCTAGAGATTGGAAAATTAGAATTAAAATATCTCCTGAAATCTCCAGTGATAACCTGTTTTCTTGTCTTGGCCAGCAAAGCTCTCCTAGAGAAAACTCAAATAGGCAAACCAACAAATAGATGAGCAATACCAGCTTTTTGGCAGACACCTGACCCTTTTAATTCTTCTTGCCTTCCATCTTCTAAGCTGTATTAGCACAATCAGGCCAGGTAGTCTATGGCCCAATTGCCTTTTCAGAGCGGTCTTTTAGATTTTCAGCTCAAGTCCTGTTTCCTTTTCTTTGGCAACAGGTTAGGGGGTTGAGGGATTTTGTGCACTCCAAAAAGCTGTTATAGTTTATGGAAGTAATTGGCTAGGAATCTGACCACTTTCTCTGTCCTCCTGCTTTTTCAGGGATGTAAGCTACTGTTTTGCCCTCCCTTTTCCAGCTAAAGTTCAGTACAACAGGAACGGTGACAACTTAATAAGTCAGTCAGCCTTGAGATTTCTCCCTCTCTTTATCCATGGGTGAAATGGTTTATCCAATGCTCAAAGTCACGTTTGATTGTAGGTTTTCCAAATCTCTCATACTAGGAAGAGGCCATTTTGTTCACAAAAACCTGCTGTGTCATTGCACCAATGTAACCCCCATCTCTCCTTAACACTTTCAGAATCAAGATCAGGCACAGCTCTTTTTCTAGTGTTCTCCAGCCAGTGGAAATTAGATTTTGTGGTAAATAGTAGCAAAACAAGGGGAGTCCTAGCTGTTAAAGTGTTTCAGCCCCAGTGATCACTTGCAGCTCCAGGTAACTGATTCCTGCCTTATAGCATGAATCTTACGTAGTTGAGAGGTTGTTTTTCAGGTGCCTGTCCCATTTGTTCTGAAAGGTCTCTGTGCATCACACATACGGGCTGTTTGTGCATGGGTGGAGAGATTTTCAGGAAAATTCCAAAGCTGATTAATTAGTATTTGGTGGGAATCTGGTCCCTGATGTGACTAGTGTCTCAGCAGGGCTCCCACTGAGATCTCAGCTCTCCTTTGGCTGCCATCATGAGTGCATCAGGAAGTTCTCCTACTCACCTCGCGATTTGTTGGGCTCTGACAACTTCTTGCCTGTTCACAGGTTTCTTTGTTTTCCTTTCGTTCTATATTGTTGACCATCATCTATGCTGCCTTTTGATGGGAGCCAGAGTTTACTTTGCTATAGTCATCTTTTCCTCAAATTTGCTATGTGTTAATAACTCTTATTAAGGTATTGTAGGGATTGGAACAAGTCTTTCTATAAAAAAGCCTTCAAAAGATGTGGGAACAGATGCTGAAGTCAGAAAAACAGGTGTTAGAATCTGCAATTGAAATGCTAAGATAAAACAGATGTTTACTGAGATCAGTCAGTTTCAACTACTGTGGGTAAGCTTAGTGAGCATGCTACTGAGGAAGGCTGTAGTGTCATTAATCCCAGAGTAAAGAGGGTGCTCCTCTGGGAAGCATCTTAACTTGGCTGTTGAGCAGAACAATCTGCCCTGAAGGTGTGGCTGCTCATTTCAATTTAGAGAGGAGGAGAGGTATTCAGTTTACAACTAACTATTTAGCATTAAGCACTTTTTCCCCTCAGGATCAGTATTCTGCAGTTGTTTTGCTTGTTTTGGTATTGACTTCTGCAGTGTTCTTCGTTGTGGCCTCTGTGCATCACACATATGGGTGCTGCGCCTGCGCAGTGCCTAGGCTGGAAGATTAGAAAGCTAACGGTTTTTGGCGGGGAAAACTCCTCTCTCTCCCCCCTACGTGGTATAAATAGAGCGGAGTGTCCTCCATTTTACTCAGTCTTTGCGACCGCTGTTCACTGTGCCTTGTGCCTGTTAACGTCCCTCGCTAAGATCTTTGTGCTTTGTGCTTACTGTCCGTTTTTACACTTTATCTCTTCCTACCTTATACTCCAAGTTTGTATCTCTTTCCTGTTTTTCCTTCCATTCTTCATTTTCTATAAGAAACCCCCAAAATATCTTACCCTCTATACTGTGTTCTTTTTTTCTTTTCGCGATGGCACAGCGAGCGGCATTCCGCAGATGTATTGAATGCGGATCCAAAATGCCATCTGTGGATCCGCATGATCTATGCCTCCTCTGCCTTGGCGAGGGGCATAGAACTGACAAGTGCGGCCACTGCTTGACCTTTACCAAGCAAGTGAGGAAGAATCGGGAGAACCAACTCCGAAAACTCTTCTGGGACCAGGCCCTAATGCAATCGGACCAACTGCTGTTACGGCCTGGTTCCTCTTTGGCCGCGCCTTCTCAGCGCTCTACCGCGAGCGCCCCACCGAAGCACCCCACTTCATCATCCGCCGTTCCTCTGCAGCGTCCTTCGGACGAAGGCGTCACTTCTGTGGAGGCCCAGTTGCTGCCTTCCTTCCCAGCTAAGAAGCGGGAGAAGCGCTTGGATAAACCTTCCACCCATAAAAAACCCAGGAAGGAGACGGTGGACAAGCTTGCTCGCAAGAGCAAGAAACCCAACTGCCCCAAACACTGGGGCTCGGATTCATCAGGCTTCTTGGTACCGACAGCTGCCTCAGTACTGACCCCCTCGGGACCGGCACTGCAATCAGCCATGCAGGTGACTCCGCCGGGATCCCTCAGGCCAACTATCCAGCCTGAGAGCGTGCCACCTCAACAAACAGAGGAGCCACTTCGGGAGTCTATCACTGATGGCGAAATTAGAGACTCCCCACTGAGGGAACGTTCTCCGACCCCAATGCCAACAACTGAGCCGCCTGCAGATTCCTCGGCGACGCAGCCGTTTGTCTGAACGTCGGGATGAGGACTGGTTAATGCCCGGATATGGTGCCTATCCCGGCTGGGGTGGCTATCGACCCTATCCTTATTATCCTCGGGATCATAGATCACCATCAGTCCCAGGAGACGTACCATCCATGTCCAGGCGCATGGAGAGAGGGCGTCCGACCTCACCTGAAACTTCATCCTCTAGTGACCGTCATCGTTACGGGGAAGACTCGGATGAGTCAGAGGTCGACTCTACATCCCCCGATGTGGTGATCTCCTCCCAAGGGCCTGCTTCACCTGATGAACCACATGTTTCCTTCTCAGAACTCATGTCCCGCCTCGTCCAGGCCCTTGAAATCGAAGCCCATCAAAGAGCCGACCCATCCACGGATTAGTTCTACGACGTCGTGAGAGGGGAGCAGTCTGCAGCCATAGCTCTGCCATTAATCACTACACTATGCCAAGCTGTGGTTCAGCCATGGGATCAACCAGCTCGACCACAAGCCACATCCTGCCGGTATGAGGCCATGTACAGAGATCAAGAGGATGATAAACCCTTTCTTACTTCGCCACCTGAAACTGAACTCTGTTGTGGTTGAATCCTCCCAAGGCAGGGAGTCCAGGGATCATACCACCCCTCGTGACAAGGAGGGGAGGAAGATTGATATGCTCGCGCACTGAGTCTATGCGGCCTCTGGGCTCGGCATACACATATCGAACTACGAATCAACACTGGCACGTTACCAGTATTTTATTATGCAAAAATTGGGTAATGTTGCTTCCTCCCTCCCAGACCACCAAGCAGACCTCGCCAGAGTCCTCATCAAAGAAGCGATGCAGGTGGCAGTGCAACAGTTGTCTACTGCAAGGCACCATGTAGACACTGATTCAAGGGCCCTCGTCAATGCCATATCTTTACACCGACATGCGTAGCTGCGCAATTGTAATTTCCCTGAAGAAATGAAATGGAGGATCGAGGAGATGCCATATGATGGTACCAGCCTGTTCCACCTAAAGACCGACCGCAAACTAAAGGCTATACATGAATCCCGTATGACTGCGCGCCACATGGAGCTTCCCCAACAGAAGCGTAAGTGGCAGTGGCCTCGTTCCTCCTATCGCCAACAATACCATCCTCGCCAACAGTACCAGCAACGACAACAATGTCGAAAGCAGCAACTGCCACAATGCTTCTCCCAGGGCCGTTGACGTTTCGATGTCGATAAACGCCAGTGTTGACGGTCCCGGCGAACCATCCTCTCTCTTCCAACACCACCTTTCCCTCTCCCTTATGGGGACCGGCTCCAGGGCCAACTCCCCATTTGGGAGTCCATTACATCTGATAGGTGGGTGATATCTATCATTCAGTTCGGGTATAGGATAGAATTCGATGTTGTCCCTCTGTCGAGCCCGATTTGTTTTACACCTTCTTCATCGGTGTTATGTGACAAAGTCTTTCAATTGCTTCGCAAGGGCGCGATTCGACAACTATCCCGCTCGGAGGGATGGCATGGATTCTACTCCAGATATTTTATGGTCCTGAAGAAGGACGGTGGTCTTTGTCCGATTCTGGACTTATGAAGTCTTAATAAGTACATCACCCCAAAAAAGTTTCGGATGACCACTTTACAGAATATCTTTCCGCTACTGAAGAGAGAGGATTGGTTTGCCTCACTGGACTTGAAGGATGCT